CTCATATTAATGAATGAAATTATTATTATGTTTTGAATCTTTTTTGTTTTTACTTAATGATCGTTTGATTCAAGTTAACAAAACAATCCTATTGTCTTCAATATTGCAATTGTTCGTTTGATGCCTAATGAAATGAAAGTACTAATAGTAACATTTGTAAAGATTAATTAAGTCCTCTAAAATTGGTCAATTTTTTTCCAATTTAATATAGCACATTGAACTTATGACACCAATCTTGGACAATAGAAAAATGTATTGTCAATAAATATGAAGATAGTTGAGTACTTGAAGATGCAACATATAGCGCATACTGAACTCATGAAGATAGTTGATGAGTACTAGAAGATAGTTGAGTACTTATGAATCAATGTAGTACAGATTAAAACAAGTGCAAAATGATAATACATTGGCATTTACAAGGTTCCAACAATATAGACAAATTAAAACATTCAGTTCAGTTGAATATATATATTTTTTTTAAAATCAACAGACATATTTTATTTCATTCCAACAGGGAGTACAAAAGATAAAGGCTTTGGCATCCTAAATACTCTATTCTACAGAGGTTGAATGCGGCAACCAGTAAAACATCAAACTAAACAATCAAACTAATAATAACCAAACTAAACAATAATAAAAAATTGAACAAAATACTCTTATCAACAATCAAACTGAAGAACTTTTTGAAATCTTCATCCCTACAAACATTCCAGCTAACAATACAGATGACATAACACTTGCTCCAATATCACTTTCATCAATACACAAACTTGAAGATTGTTCTTCACTGTAAATATTTTCTTTTTGGAATTCATTGAATACTGCTACTGCTTCCTCATAAGATTTGTAAGACTTGAAGATGCTTCCTTTGAAACCTATAACCATCGGAGCAAACTCACATCAAGAGTTGTATTTTACCACAAAATACTACATACACCTTCGATACCGATATATTATCAGTTTGAGATCCATTTCTAAACTCATTAAAAGCTGTTATGGCTTCATCATATGTTTTGAAGGCCTTGAAGATGCTGCCCTTAATACCAATAACCATAGGAGCACACTGATGCCAAGAGTTATACAATCCAGGCCTCTTACCACGAAACACTACATAAACTTTCGAAGCATTATTCCTTTTCCTGTGGTCCATTCCTTAATCTAACCCTAAGAAAGATAAGAGATGAAGAATGAGAAAACAAAGATAGAAAAATGGGGGTTGGAAAAGCTTTTTAGGTTTGGCCAAATATATTAAGTGTTTAGGGTTAGAAAGTGACCACTTTAATCATAAATACCAGTAGTTTAATTTTATACGTATTTTCTCTAATATATTATGTGTATATTTTAGTGTATTTCGTTTAATTGGTATAGTATATGTATACTTTAGTGTATTTCGTTTAATTAGTATAGTATATGCATATGTGCTTTATGGAAAATGATGTAGTATGCATCCTGGGAAGGTAAAACAATTAAATTAGTGAGAGAAAATTGTTTGAAAAAAATTAAATTAAAAACAAAAATTTGCCAAAGGGTATATATGAAAAACGAAAATGCACAAAAATCCATTATGCCCTCAAAAGCCGTGCGAAGTTACTATTATACCCCATTTGGGACATTCTTAGTTTGGCCAAATATATTTTTCGAAAAATATTACGTCCACATACTAAATATGTTGATATTGTTTTGATCAAGTCAAACAACAATAAAGAAATAAAAATAAAGTAGGCATTGTGCCTTGAAGCACAAGAAGGCAAGAAACAATCCAAATTAAAGGGGAGGGTCAACATAGCCTCTCCCTCCCGTGGGAAAAAGAACATATGTAGGACCACTCCCAAACAACGCCGTGTTATCTTTGATTATAGAGATAGAGATAATTAATAGTGTCGCTGCCAAGTTTTTTTTTTTTTTTTTTTTTGTCAAAAATACTTTTGGCCAAAAATTGAGGTGTTTGACCAAGCTTTTGGAAGGAAAAAAGTATTTTTGAGGAGAAACAGAAACAGTTTTTGAGAAGTAGAAAAAAGTAGCTTCTCTCCAAAAGCACTTTTTTGAGAAGTACTTTTGAGAAAAACACACTTAGAAGCAGTTTTTTAAAGCTTGATCAAATACTAATTGATGCTCGGAAGTGCTTTTCAAACTAATTAGCCAAACACAAACTACTTCTCACCAAAAATACTTTTGAAAAAAAGTTTTCAAAATAAGCTGATTTTTGCAGCTTGGCCAAAAGAGCTATTAGTTTAAATAGCATTCATAGTCGCATACTCTCATCTTTATCTTATTTGAAAAATTCAATGGACTTTGGGTAATGGACCACACCCTTCATGCGTTTATTCATATCATATTATCCAGCTTCTTTGGGTAATATCTTTACAAAATGATGATGAAGAAAACCAATTGTATGTAGTAACAGACAACTTCTATTTCTTTTCTCTCTTTTAAATGTCTTTCATTGTTAAACTTTTTAATCTTGTTACTGTTCATTTGAGCATGTTGAACGATTAATGCCTGTTTGGTCATATATTTCAGCATTTGCAAATATATTTATTTCGCCAAGAGTACTATTTGCATCTATCAAATTTCAATGTTTGAATTTCAAGCAAAATTTGAAATACTCGTTTGACGATATATTTTAGGGGAATAGGTTATTGGTTTTTACTCAAAAAGTTCCATTTTTTTTCCAAGTGAATTTTTTATCTAGACGCAACATCTTCCACGATTTTAATCTACCTTCAATTTAAAAACTCTTGTTTCCAACTTCAGCCCAAATATTCTCCAACTGCCATCTAAACTAATAATTGATAGAAGAAATTTTGCTTAATATTCAAGGCCGCGATTGAAATGTGTATTGGCTAGCACATAGTTTTCGCAATGGATTTGGGGACAAAACCGTATGCCGTAAGAATTGGAAAAGGGATATTATTATTTTTAACTCGCACAAAAAACTATTAATATGTGGTAGTAAAAAAAAATGTATAATTTTTGTATATAACATAAAGAATATATATATATATATATAAAATATACAAACTTTATATATTTTTCGACTATTTTTTTTTACAGCGGCTATACAACGCCAGAAAATCAGTTCAAGGACCACGAGATCTGTAAGTTTGAAACTAGTGCAAGAGTATTAATTAATTTGACACCGCAATTCCCGTTGTGATGCATCAGAAGATGTAAAGTAAAACTTGGAGGAGAAGTAGTAAAGGATGTGAACAACTAAAATAATTCAAAGCCGTTATCCTAAAATTTAAATCTAATTAATTAATTCGCCAACCCCATACTTGAACTTTTTGTTGTTTTGCATAAGAATGGAATTGGCCGCTGTTTTTGCCTGGCCCTTGGAGAAAGTCCTCTCCCACTAGCAGGGGCGGACCCAAGTGGTGAGAGGTGGGTTCAACTGAACCCGCTTCGTCAAAAAATAATACTGTATATATGTATAAATTATGGTTAAAGCAAGGTAAATTTTGTATAGAAATTATTTTTGAACCCGCTTATACGGTATATACAGCTTATGTTAGTTATGGACTTCTCCGACTGAACCCGCTTGCACAAAATCCTGAATCCGCCACTGCCCACTAGGATTCCTCATTTCTATTTAATTAATAGTAAGCGACGACTTCTCCACACGTTAATTTCTTTCTACTCCATTCCTCATAAAAACCATCATCCAGCTATGACTTTTGACATACTATAACCATGTGACTAAAAATGTTTATTTTTTTATAGAAAGACTTTTTCCAAATATAGATTTTAAAAGGAGATGCTCCAATTTTTTGTTACCTACTCGTACAGTCGTACTTGACATAACAACTTTAATTCGTTAATAAGGAAAACGAAGACAATCGAAACAAAGTCTATTCAGGGGCAGCGCTATACACCAAATTACAATTCGGCCAAATCCAATAACTTGATTTAAATTTTATATCTAATTGTTTATTCTTAAAAATCCATATAATATGTATAAATTATTAATTTAGAACCAATAATTTAGAGGGAAAATTTCACATTAGAACAACTGAGCTCCATATTTTTCAATTTTATAGTTCATCTTTCAATTTACAACCAACTAGCCCAAATTAATAGGCTAAGATTCAATATCCAACTCAAATAGGTTGTCAAAATTATTATTTAATTTTTAAAAAAGAGTTCAAGCTTTTAAATTAATTTTCGAATCAGTAAATGTGACTCAAATATTATTTCAACAAACCAAATTTATTTGGGTGGTGAAAACTAGATTTTTAAAAAGTTTAAATATGTGAGTTTAAATTTTGAATTTGATTTTGTGAGAAATTTGGAGTGGTTGTTATTTAGACATGTTAGAAATAGTATAAGGAGGTTGTATATAAAATTTGAAGTCATTTAATGGAGATTTGGACTGGTTTTGAACGAGAATTGCAACTGAAAATCGTGGAAGAAGTTCGTCTACAGATGCTTGTATAAAAGTGTATAAAAGTGTATAATAGTGTATAAGCTGTGTTTCTACACTCATATACACTATTATACAAGATTATACATAATTATACAAAAAACTGACTGCGTCTTCTTCCTTGCGTCTTTTCTGAAATTTAACTCAAATCCTGCTCAAATATACTCCAAATTACTTCAAATTCAAATTTTGAACTTCTTTTGATATTTTCAATCAATTTGAACAACACCCAATCCAAACAACTAACAAATTCTTTGTGAGAACAAAGAATTAACTCCATAGATTTTAGAAGCAATAGTTGTAAGAATACAGATTTTGAATTTGCAAGTGCTTTCAAAATATGTACAATGTGGGCTAGATGAAATAAAACTTAAAAACATGAGCCATTTTTTGTTATGTTATAAAGTTATATGTATTTTCTTGTAATTCTTTCTAACTTAAAAGGACTCATAAGTTTCAAATTCTAATATGAGCCTATTACAATTCAAAAGTAAAAAGCATGCTATAACATGAAGTATTGCCCATTTGCAGATGATGATTAAATCTTGGCGGCCATGTTTTTGCCGATGCAACTGAGTTTAATTTTGATCATTTACTATTTCAATTCACAAGAAAATAGGGAATTGCACAAAAAGGTTAATTACTAACGTATACTTCTTCTTTAAACAAGTAAGTTTACAAACAGCCGAATTTGATATTATGCTCTGCAACTCCCACATATTTTTATTTACACGCCGAGAGCGAGAGAAGATGAGGGCACGTTACCACCTATAGCATGTTACTGCCCAAGGAAAGTGAAATTGAGGAGAAACCTCTCTCCTTCACGTACGCTCGCGTCAAAAGAAAAAAAGAACAAAATAATGAAGTAATTAATTGGTTAAGTAAACAAGAGAACGGATCCTTCTTGAATGGTCATAAGCTTCCTGAAGGAGCGCACAGCCATCTTTGCCCGCCGCGAAGATATTCGCTGCAATTTTCTAACAGAAGCAGATCTCATGGAAACCCCAAGCCCCATGGACGGAGCCTTATAATTGCTTTGACTTTGAGTATAATTATCTCGAGATTCATCTTCCACTTGGAGAAGCATTGGTGAAATCCGAGAATTACTCTTCTTATTCTTCCTTATAAACTTCTTAGAATGGCGACGGTTGTTTTTATTGAGGTCCTCGAGAGCAGCACTTGCTTTAACGGCAAGAGCTGCCATTTCAGACGCACTCAGGCGATACTGAAGCTTGGAAGTAGGGAGCACGAAATAGATCTGACCGGGCTGAAGCTGGTATTCAGAATCCAAACGAGGTATGAAATCGTCGAAGTAAAGGCGATCGGAATTGCAGATGAAGGAAGCCTCAGAAGACATCTCAGACTGAAGAACTTGAGAGACGTTGATGGGAACTGTATATTGACGGAGCTCTCCGTTGGTTGATATCACGTAGGCGGAGGAGGGTTTCTGATCTTTTGCATCGATGACGGAAGAGGAAGACAAACAAGCACCCATCTATCTTTCTATGTATGATAATATATTCCGTTTACGTAATTGGATGGAAGACAAGTATAATGTGAAAGATGTTGTGGCTGCAAATGAGGCGGTGACCAGCCTTTTAAAGATTCACGAGAGCTCGCGTTTTCCTTCCATTTTCTTCAACTGGGAGTGGGGTCCACGACACTTTGTCCCCTAATAACTCTTCTCTTTCTCTCTCACTCCGTTCCAACCAAAGAAGTTGTGAGTTGAGTCTCCCGCAAGGTGGGAAGTTTTTGGAGGGAAGGATGTCGGAGGTCTATTTGGAAACAGTCTCTCTACCCTAGGGTAGGGATAAGGTCTGCGTACACACTACCCTCTCCAGACCCCACTAAGTGAGATTATACTGGATTGGATTATTGTTGTTGATTCTCTTTTTGTTTTTGTTTATGGGATCATTCATAACTGAATTAAGAAAAAGTGAAAATGAGAGGGTGGTGACGGAAGTGACGCCGTCATTGCGGGAGCAAGACCCCACTAATTTTAATTTTACTGAACAAGCGGTCAAGGTTGGCTATTCATTCTGTGGGTAGAAGATTCAAGTGGAACACGTGCTGATTTTAGATTTGTGTGACGCGTATGTGTGTGCATGGTTGTGTCAGCTCTTACGCAGAACCACCTCAAACGATTTAGGCTTGGAAACCAAGCAATAATAAGAGTTGACTCCACGAATTTTCCCAATTTGTAGTATCTAAAGAAGACTGTTAACTTGTCTTCTTTCACGATGAAGCAAACCCGCCTTAGTAAAATGAAAAGGTAAAAGTGAAATGATATGATCTAGACAGAATTACTACCTAACTCGAGTATGCATGATGAATTCTAATCATTACTATATTTTACTGATTATAGTTAATTAAAATATATGAATTACAAAAAGGCTGTAACGGAAAAAAGAAAAGTTGGAGGGAACATTCCACCAAGTAAACCTATGTAATCACTGATGACGCTCATTCCTATTAACCTCGAGTACGAAACCTTTTTAATCATTTTTTTGACAAAAAATACTTTTGTACTACTTTAAAAAAAAAGTTACATAAATGAGTAAAACGCAGTATTATACTACAAATTACTTTAACGAAAATTTTGCCGTTAAAGTAATTCGCAGTATAGTACTGCGTTTTATTTTATTTTTTTTCTGTAAATCGCAGTACTATACTGCGTTTTACTAAGATATATTTGTAAAACGCAGTATAATAATGCGTTTTACATTAAATAATTGCGTTGTACTCTGGTTTTTGCCCCCACCAATAATGAACTGACATAACAATAATTCAATACATAAAACATAGTATTGTACTGCGTTTTACATAGAAAAATTCTACACCCCAATGTCGGACTTGCCTTATTTAAAGGCGTTTTAATTTTNTAACCTTAAAATAACCGGTAGATTTCCGTATTCAGTGACTCCGCAAGGGTTTGCTTATTATTCTGAGTTTAACATCGAGGATGATGAAACTCTTAGAGATTTTTTGCTGATTCCGGATGAATATATGGAATTTATTGTAATAAAATTATTGGAAATGTACGTCAAGGTGGAAGACGTTTNACATACAATGAGAATCACTTCAACTTGGATGTGGACTTGATTTCTCTTGTCTTGATTCCATATTTGGAAATGTCCATTAGGTTCAAGATTAAAGAGTGTATTATAGCCGTCCACCAGGAGTATGGTTGTACTATAACCAAAAGAAAGGTATATCTCGGTCGCAAACGTGCCTTTGAACTTATTATGGCGATAGGGATAAGTCTTTTTCCAATCTGCCCAGGTACATGGCCGCACTGCAACACTTTAACCCCGGGACTATTGTTAAATGGAGGCATGAGCGGAGTCCGGACAGACCCGAATATATTTTCAACTATGTGTTCTGGTCATTTAAACCAGCAATTGATGGTTTTGTGCATTGTCGTCCTGTAATTTCCATAGACGGTACTCATGTCTATGGAAAATATGATATTAAGCTTTTGATTGCAGTTGTAGTAGATGCCAACGGGCAAATATTTCCACTACATTTTACCATATGTGCCAACGAAATTGAAGAGACATGGACGCTTTTTTTGAACCATTTGAAGCAGCACGTTGTCAAACAACGTTCAGGTATTTTTCTAATATCTGATCGGTATGGTGGTATTTTAAGTTCTGTACGTCACTTGCCTGAATGGCAGGAACCATATGCATACCACCGTTACTGTGTGCGTTACCTGAAGGCCAATTTCCAGAAGAAATATCCTGACAAGGCATTGCATGACTTAATATGGCTGGCTGCAACTGAGCACCAGCAGTGCAAATTCACGAGGTGCATGGAAGCGATCTGGCAGTTAGAACCACGAGCCTATACTTGGTTGATGGGGCATGAGCTTCATATGTGGACATTGCATGGGAGCCCTCACTACAAACGTGTCGGAGTCATTCAACGGCTTGTTGAAGTCTGCCCATGGACTGCTTGTCACTGCCATGGTCCGCATGACATTCAAACAGAGTACGGAGAGGTTTGTTGAAAGGCATGCAGCTGCATCAACATTGATGGACAGGGGTGTTCAATTTA